CACCCTGGAGCCTCCTCTTCTCCAGGCTGAACAACCCCAACTCTCTCAGCCTGTCTTTATAGGAGGGGTGCTCCAGCCCTGGGATTGTTTTCGTTGCCCTCCTCTGGACCTTCTCCGACAGGTCCATGGCTCTCTCCTGTGCTGAGGGCTCCAGAGCTGGATGCAGTACTCCAGGTGGGGTCTCACCAGCGTGGAGCAGAGGGGCAGAATGACCTTCCCCAGTGCTGGTGTAAGGCCACCCAGTGCATGGGATGGGGGGCCCTAGACCAAGGCAAACCAACCCCCCCTGCAGCACAAGTGTCTGGGTTTATGCATTGCTGAGGCTGTCGGCCAAACCACCCCCCGTGGCAGAGCACTCCTAGGAAGCCAAAGGGAAGAATCCTGCGCGGTGCAGCCGTGACCGGTCACCGGGATCCACGGCATCTCCAAGGGCTTGGTCACATCCTGCGCTGTGCTTACAGACAGCTCTCGGGTGTTTGGCTCTATTAACCCTGTGGAGTCTTTGATTGGTAAAACCTGACTATATTTGGTCTGGCCCCTAAGAGCCTGGCTAGAGATCCCTTCTGAAAACCAGCCTGACTCCAGGGAAATGCCATTCCCCTCTCTCACTGCCGGAAACAGCCTCAGCCGCTCCGGGCCAGCTCACTTCCCCGGGGCCAGCGCAGGTCCTGCGGATCCCGGCAGCCTGGGAGTGAACCCGGGGCTCTGTGCCCAGCAGAACTCACTACAAAACGGCCCTGCCCCAGAAACACCAGGCAGGTGGAGTCTTCTCCCCCTGCATCTCACCTGGATGTGCTGGGAGAAGCGAGCGATGTCCCGATCGGGCTGATTCCCAGATGCCAACATCCGTGCTCTGCTCTCCGTGAACTGCTGTAACTTCTCCGAGAGCTGTTCGTACTGCTCAACCTTGGGGAGGAGGCCCTTCAGCGCGTCCTCCCTCTCCTGCTGCCGCTGGCACAGCCTGCCAAAACGCTCCGTCACCTCTGCCAGCTTGCCCTGCAGGGCTGAGGCCGTGGGGCTGTCGGCCGCCTCCATGAACCGTGTCACCATCTCACGGGTGGCTTCCAGGCAGCTCTTCTGCCTGGCGATGTCCTGCTTCAGCTTCTGCGGTAAGCACACGGAGAAAGGGATGCCATTTTAGGAAGGCTCTTGAGCAAAACTGAACTGGCGGGAAGAGGCTGGGCCGCCCTTGGGAACAGCAGGGCATGTTTTGAGACAACCAGGGTTGGGCAAGAATAGTTTTCTATCCCAGTTTTCCTTTCCTTTCTGATCTCCCCAGCCTGCTCCGCCTCTCCCTAGTGCCTGACATCCAAGCCCTACTTGTTAGCAAAGAAGGAAGGGGAATTTCAACAGGTCTGTGTCCTGGCTTAGAGAAATTAAGCAAAGGTTCTGCTCATATCCCTTCTTAGGGGTTTTTATTTTGCGCTTTCTGAATACGGTAGCTAACCCCCAGCATCTGCCTGCACGGTTCAGGTCCTGCAGACAGGCGTGTTGGAGGCGGGGGAGCTCAGGGACCACCCTTACCGCACTCGTGGCAAGCGAGTCCTGGATGGAGGCGGAGGAGAGCGTGGCTGGCTGCTCTCCCTCCAGGTTCTTCTCGATCTCAGCCACCGACTGGAGCAGGCTCTCCAGGCTCTCCTGGACACTCTGGGACTGGGCGATGGATTTCTGCAGCAGGTCCGAGCGCTCGCCCATCTGCTGGGAGAGGCTCTGGAAGCGACTCACGATGGCATCTGCAGAATTCAGTGCAAAGGAGAATCAGAGGCAAAGAGCTTCTCGCCTGGTGCTCAGAGAGCAGCAAGGACCAGCTTTGGCTCCTGCCAAACCCTCACTGAGGACGAATCCCCGTCCCCAAACTCAGCAGCGAGACAGGGGACCCACCACAAGCGGCCAGCCTGGATCACAGCCCTCCCCACGTGCAAACACAAGCCCTGAAGACGCGGCGCTGTGTGCCTTTGCCGATCTTCCCTCAAAAGCGAGAGACTTCGCCTTTCCTCCCTCCCTCATGCGTTTTCACACTCGCCCCAACCACCCCTGCTAACGCAGGCGGCTGCTTTGCTCTGTACCTGTTGTGTCCTGAATGTGACTGTGGTCCGGGGCCGGTTCCCCTTGGACCTCCAGCAGGGACCGAGCTGCTTTCTGGAGCTTCTCCACCGGCACCTGATGCTCAGCGAGGTCTCCCTGCAGCTGCTGCTTTGACACAAGAGAAGGCAAAAATCAGCAGTGGGTCACACGCAAGAGACCTGCACCCGCGGGGAGCTGAGGGCTCCATTCAAACCCTGCTGAGGGATCCTGTTCACTTAAATGAAGAAAAATAATAACTTAGGTTGGAAGGTCCAACCCCATGCTGCAGCAGGGCTGGATCAGAAGGTCTGGGCTGTCCCAGCACCCAGCCACCCTCACGGGGGAGGAACGACCCCGCCGTGTCCCACTGGGATGTCCCCTGCGGCAGTCCGTGACTCAGCCCCTGGTCCTTGCTCTGAGCACCTCTGGGAAGAGCCTGGCTCCACCTGATCTGCAGAGCCTCCAGGTACCTCTTTGCACTCAACCAGCAAACAAAGCCAAGGGGCCGAGTCTCCTTCCTGCTGCTGACTGCTCAGAGCAGCAGCCAAATTCCCGAACAGGCTCCAACGCTCCCCAAGGAGATCGCCCGAGGACCCCGTACCTTAGCACTGGTGAGCTGCTTTTGCAGAACGGTTGGATCTGAAGAAACCGTCTCCGAGAGCAGCTTCCCAACAGCAGCTTCGCTCTCCTGCAGCCACGTCCCAAGAGACTCCACCACCTCCTGGAACTGCTGGTAGTGATCCAGCAAGGTGTTCAGGTGGGAGCCGAGCTTGGTGCACTGCAGAGGCAAGAAGACGTATAGCAGGAGAATGCACACAAGCACAGAGCAACCTCAGCATCGGGGTAAAACGCACAGAAACCATCGAGAACGAAAAAACAATTTAAAAAACCAATCTTGCCATATGCGTTAAAGGAATTACAGGAGGCGATATGCAGACCAACACCAAGACAGAGGGTGTTACTCTTGCCCAAGCCCTGAAGACGACAATCCTTGTCCTACAACCTACACATGTGCTAGAAGTCCAGCTAGACACTCAAGAGAAACGTCCCTCTGCCATCCCTGCTCGTTCTACGTGCGCAGGAGGAAAACAGCACCCAGGGGTCAACTCCCAGCCTTGCAAAGCCCTTCCCGTACCTTGGAGTGTAGCGCGGTGTATCGCTGCGTCGCATCCTCCAGCTTGCTCTTGACCACGCTCCCGGACATCAGCGACTGGGACCCTGCATCCCCAGCAGCTCCCTCCACATCCAGCACCTTCTGCCCCGACATGGTAACAAACCGCAGGTCACCTTTGTGGGAGATCACATCTTCTGAGAAGCTCCCCTGCCGCAGGAGCAGCTGCCGGAGGGCCGCAGGGTCGCTGTCCCCCTTGTACATCCCCTCCAGATCCTGCTCCGCTTGCTTCAGCCAAGCCTCAAACTCCCCATGATCCTGCAAGAACTTCTGCAGCTCGTCCCGCAGCACTTGCACTTGCTTCAGCCGCGTTTCCGACTGCGAGAGGGAAGCCGCGTACTGGTCCTTCAGCTCTGCCAGCCGGCCCTGGAGCCGGTCCCGCTCCTCCCCAGCCAGGTTGTGGCCACGCTTGTCCAGGAAAGCCTGTGCCGACTGCGTGGCCAGGATGACGTCTTGCTGCTGGGACAGCAGCTCCTGGTGCTGGGCCTGAAAGATGCCGACGAGGAAAGGTGATGCTTGTGACCGATGGTCTCTGCCCACCGGTACCCGGTGGGTGCAGGGAGGCCACGCGTGTGCCTGAGCCTCCGCACCCTCCCACGGCACTGGCGAGGTGGGGGAACCCCCCATGGCTGGGATAAGGCAGGTGCTCTGCCAGCAGGAGGGTCATCCCTGCTCTGACCATGACAGGCACCTTCTCGTTACCCTGATTACACCGTGCCGTGGCACCCACCCACCAACACAGAGCCCACGCCCTCCAGGAAGCCTTCCCAAGTCTCCCATATGGAAAATCCCCTTGAACGCGTGTTTCGGTGGCCAGCCCCATCGAACACCCCGTCCTGCTCCCAGCTGCATCAGCAGCCGGAGACAGGGTCAGTGCATCGGGCAGAAAGCTTTGAGAGGGTCGAGGGGTTGGTCCTGACCTTCAGCCTCTCGTACTGCTCATCCAGGCTCCCGGCAGCGCTGTCTGCTCCCACGACGTGGCCGTCGGGGACGTCTCGAGTGCCTGTCCCTGCTCGCACCCCTGGCATTTGCTTGATGGGGTGCGGTCTGTACTCCAGGAGCCCTCCCTTCTGCTCCAGGGATGCCACCCAGTTCAACAGGGAATCGATCTTATTGCTGTTCTCCTCCAGCTCTTTGGCAGCTTTCACCTGAAAGCACAAAGGCTCTGGGTAAGAATGACCCGTTTTGTGCACGTTCGGCAAACTTCTGTGTGGAGGAGGGAGACAAAAATCAACAGAACAAAAATCCCGAATAGTTTTCCAGCCCCAGCAAACACCCGAGACACTCACAGACCCCCAAAACACTTCGTGGTTCTCTGGCAGGGACAGATAGGAAGAAACAGCAAATTGCTTTACGCCGCATCACCCCGATGACTGCCAGGACCCCCAACGAATCTGATTACACCGACTGGACCTCACTGTCCACCTCAAGCAGAGCCCAGGGGTTACAGCTCTTTGCCCGTTACCTTTTCAGTCTCCTGCTGCACTGCGGCAGTCACAGCGCTCTCCAGCTCCTTCTGGGCCATCTCTGTTCTCTCCTGCAGGGACTGGTACTGCTCCTTGGCACGCTGGAGCTTCTCCTGCAGTGTTGCCAGCTCCCCAGGCTCCATCTTTGCCTTGTTCTCCTCCAAAAACTCCTCTGTGCTTTTCAGGACACTGGCGAAGGAGGCAGCTCGGGTGTGCATGTTCCTCTGCAGCTCCTAGGCGGACGATGCCGTAAGGCTCCATGCCCTTCCAAGGCAGCGCCGAGCCTCTCCGACTTCAGACCCCCCTTTTTTTGTTAAAGCACTGACCTTAACATCACTTTGCCTCTGCTGCAAGACGGACAGGTCCCCTTCGCTGGCTGCTCTCTGCTGCTCGGCCAGCCTGTCCTCTGCCTCGCAGCAAAAAATTTCAGCTCGGCCAGGCTCTGTGCCCGGGCTGCCTGCTGCTCCTGCAGCGTCTGTGGGCGAGGGAAGGGGAGAGGGGAGAGTTAGAACCGGTGCTGCACCTCCGGTCACACACATCGCTGAAAGGCAAGGCGAGAGGTTACAGCTGGAGCATCTCCCTGAAGATGAGGATGCAGCACAGAAAACGGCTTTTGCAGCTCTCCACGGGCTCCCTCTCCCTCTCAGGCTGCAGGAACGGGGCTGAGGTGCTGAGTCCCCGCCGAGCAGGAGCTGCTCACTGCACGTCTGCCACCATCCCAGCAGGTTTCTCTCCATCGGCTCTTTGAGAAGCCCACTGAGCTCCAAGGTGGAGCTACGCCCCAGGCCACGCACCCCTCTCCCGGCAGAGCTCAACTGGGAGTTTCTGTGCCTTTATCACTCAACCTTACAAACGATAAAACTGCAGCAGAAACTCATCTGATGAGAGGTAACAACCACGCGAGGGCAGGTAGCACCACTGTGGAGCCCCAAACCACCTGCGCAGGCTGGTGTTCTGGTCCTGGGGTTGGAGAGGGAGCCCAGGAGGGAGCAAGCGTTTCTGTAGCCGACCCAGCTCCTCCGTCCTGCTGCCAGAGCACAGTACAGAAGCGCCTGTTTGAGCAATTGAGCATGATGTGACCCGAGAGTCCCTGCAACGTTTCCGTTCCCCTTTCCCCGGGGAGATAAAGGCTTTTTGAGTTTCACTGGGCACTTCAGCAAGGTGATGTACAAACTCGTGCAAAACACTGTGCTTGTTTCTCCCAGTCATAAGATAAACAACAGAAGCGAATTGAAAGAGCCTTCTTAAGAGCTCTTCAGCTGCAAAGCGAGTTCTTCCTGGGTTAGGATGGGCGCACACTCAATCTGAAAAAGCAAAGCAAACTGGTTAATATACAGACACACACACTCCAGAGAGGACAGGCAAGAGTTACAGAGAGCACTTGTTAATAAAAACCACATGAATCCTGTCTCGAATAAGAGGCTCCATGCACTGACGGGTGCTGCAGCAACGCAGCAGAGACCCGAGGACTTGCTCTCGGAGCTGCCTGGCTAAGCATCAGCTGTTCCTCTGGGACAGCAATGCTGACTTGTGCAGTGGAAATCAGACATTAAAACTGCCAGGTCTCCGCGGTGGTCCCCCTGCACAGGGACTTTCTGGTGGGGTTACAGAGACCAGGGTTTGTTCCACCCAGCCCAAAGCAACTGGATGTCCAGCAGAGGACTGCCCGGCTGCGCTACCCAGGCCTCGGCAGGGCTCCGTCTTTTGGGAGGAAAGCGACTTTCCGCCTGGGAGTTACGTGGTAGCAAGAAGAAAGACTTTAGAGGAAGCTCATGATGTGCAATGAGAAGTCGTAAACTGTGAGTGGCATGCAGGTGAAATCCCAAATACGAGGTGTCTCAGCACATGTTCTTGTGGCCGGGAAGCGCTTCAGCCAGCAAACTGCAGCCAGGAAGCAGATGTCTCACAACCTTCACCTGATCCGTCCGCTCCACTTGCTGGAGACAGACCCGCAGGACCTCCGCCCGTGCCGTCACACGCTCCGACAGGTCCTGGAAAGCCTTCTGCAGCTCATGGAGCATCCGCAGCAGCCGCCGGCTCTGCTGAGGGGTTAAGTCCTGGGCGTGCTCTGAGATAAGGAACTGGATGTCGAAGGCAGTGGCGTCGAGCTGAGACTTGGTGTCAGCGAGGGGCTCTTTCAGCTCCTGAAGGAGAGAGAAAAGATTTGTCAGGCAAAATGACTCCGCTGCCGGTGCTTTCCTGCACTGCCAGCTTCCGATGGGACACGCCGACAGGCAGCAGCGTGCACCCGAAGTGCTCTGTCAGCAGAACAATATATTCCAGAAACCCCAAATGCTCCCAAAAGCATCATCAAGGTGACAGCATCTCCCCACAGCAATCTTCCAATGCTCCTCTGCACCGGGCCTCCAGCACCTCGCCAAGAGGCTGCTTGGACCACGCGTGTAGGGCTGCCCTTGGGTCTGAGCAGGACCCAGACCTGGAGCTGCCAGCAGCCCCCTCCACCCCGCGGTGACTCCGTGTGCCACCACCGGCTCTCAAAGCCTTCCATCCCCTGACTTCAATGCCAAGGTGCTACCAGCAAACAGGAGATGCTGAGCTGACCAAACCTTGAGAGCTAACGCCAGAAGATGAATAAATGTGGAAGGGAGCCTGGGCTCCTCGTACAGACGATGGAGATCAGGGCAGGAGTGATGGAGGGGGTGTCCCCATGGGGGAAGGAGCTCTCTCTCCTCAACAGCCTGACGGGAATCCCTCCTGATCACTCAGCCCCCACCACACACCTGCATTTGAGCATGTTCCCCAAAAAGCCAAAGCAAATCACTCGTGTATTGTAGAAACACACGACTTTGGAGCAAATACAGTATCGTTGCTCCTCCTGCAACACAGGATAAGGGCAAACCCTTGGTAGGGTCCAGGAGGGAAGCGGGATTAAAAGCTTCTCCTCCACGCAGAGGACAGCAACTTCATCGGCCAGAAGGATTAGGGGCATTGCCATGGTTACCTTGTAGTGCTGCAGGCAGCGACTCAAGCTGTCCGCATCAGTCGCGTGGCGGTAATCGCTGCTGTCCAGCGACTCTGCGGTACCAGAGACCCAGCTCAGCAGCTCCTGGAGTTTGCCCTGGAGAGTCTCATGATGTGCCAGAATTTTAGCCTTAAAATCAGAAATGTATCATTTAAAGAAGGAGCGGAGTGCTCCAGAGAAGGAGTGTTGGGATGCTCGGGGGGTAGCAGGCAGCGGGGACGGTCGCCAGCTCTACCTTTTCGGTTTCTGCCGCCCCGCGAAGGTTTTGCAGCCGGGACTCCAGGACATCACTCGCAGAGCTCAGAGACTTCTGGAGGTTCTTGGCATCCAATCAGAAACGTATCATTTAAAGAAGGAGTGGAGTGCTCCAGAGAAGGAGCGTTGGGATGCTCGGGGGGGTAGCAGGCAGCGGGGACAGTCGCCAGCTCTACCTTTTCAGTTTCTGCCGCCCCGCGAAGGTTTTGCAGCCGGGACTCCAGGACATCACTCGCAGAGCTCAGAGACTTCTGGAGGTTCTTGGCATCCTTCTCCAAAGCCTTCAGTAATTGCTCAGGGACTTCTTCAGGGGGGTTGGCCACGATCCACTTCACGGCGTCCAACTCCTGATTCACTGGGAAGCTCAGCTCCTGCAGCTCAGCGCCCAGGGCCTGAGGCAAGACAGCATCGTTATGTCTAAGATACGGTGACTTCATCTTCCCACTGCCAAAACTAAGCAAAGACTTTGGAGACCCAGCTCCGAACACCGCATCTATCTGCTAGAAAGATTAATCACCGTCCTCCAGCCCCGCTCAGCTGCCAGCACTCGCCTGTCCTTCTCCAGGCTGTAAAATTCTTCTCACCAAGCTTAGGTTATTGTCTGAGCAGGGAGGAGAAGGTGAGCCAGAGGCAGTGCCAGCGCGGGGAGGGATGGGGTTTGCACAGAACCGCCTGTTAAACCTGAGACTAACCTCCCCGGCTGGCTCCCAGCAGCAGGCAGGAGGTGCAAGGGCTGTGCACGAAGCTGGGGAGAGGAGGGACGAGCTCGGTCCTGCCTAACTCCGGCCAAGCCTGGCCCAGCCTCGCTCACCTCCGCCTGCTCCAGCAGGTTGTGCAGGGCTCCCAAATTCTGCTCCGCCGGCTGCACCCGTTTGATTCTCATCTCGATATCTCGGAGCATGGAGAGATACGATATCAGCTTCTCATCATGTTCCAGACACATCTTCTTGCTGAACATGATCTACAGAACCAAACAGTAAAACAAAACCTCAAATTTAGACAGAAAAGAAAACAAAGGATTACATGTTATTCTTTTTTTTCAAAGAAGAAATCTGTTAACAACATTCCATTTCATGGACTTTCCACTCGCTAGCCTTATCTCCAAGATTTACTACAGGGAAAATAAAACACATGGCTCTTTTTCCGATGTAAGCTTGTAAATGGCAAGAGATCTCTGGTGTTACAGTAAAAGTGCCAAAAAAGGAGTCCTACTTATTAGTCATTTATAAGTAATGCTCTGGCAAAAAGAAGCCACAACCAAGCCTTGAGTGTTTTCAGTCGTACATCACTGGGTCCTTTGCCAAATCCATCGCAGCTGATACTGCAACACCAAGCTCTCACATCCCCTCCTCGTGTTCTGGCTGTCCTCTGCGCTGAGGACCTCGGACAGATTTAACATCAAACACACACACAGAGCTCATAGAAAAAAAATGTCAAAACAGCAGAAAGCATCAGTTTACCTGGGCTGGTCTCGTGGATTCCCGCGAGGTTTCCAGCAGCTCCCCCTCCACTATCACAGGTAAGAGCGAGCCCCGATCGCCAGGACCCGGCTGCCTGGTCCTCTCCTGGGGTGATTCTCCTTGGGCTTTTGGGGGAAGAGGGGCACCTCCTTGGCCTGTGCTGATCTCCGCTGTTTGCTCTTGCCGTTTCTCTTCTCCAGGCTCAAGGACCGCAGAGGTTTCCTGAACTTCTCTGGGCTCCTCTCTGATAATTAATTCATCCGGCAGTTCGTCTGCTGCAGGGGCTGCACGGGACACATCACCGGGGGTTCCCACCTTGGTGCCTTCCTGGGCCATCCTCTCCTCCAGGCTCAACGCTACCGAGGAATCATGACCATTTCTGACCCCACCTTTCACCACCTCTCCAGCTTCCCCTCGTCCTGGGGGGACAGGGAACACCTGACCCCCTCTGAGGTTTTCTTTCTCTTTCTCAGAAAACATTTTCTTTTCTTTTTCATCCCTGCTGCTCCCCCCGTGCCTGGCTGTGTCTCTCACCAACGCAGCGGTAATCTTGGTGGGGGTTTCATGTTTTGGTTCTGCTGTGCTTGAGACAAAGTCCTCCTCCTCCTCCTCCTTCTTCTTCTTCCCTGGAACTTCTTTGGAAATCAGAAAAGGAAGGGACTGCTTTTCTGCAGAAGATTTCTCCAGCTGAGTGCCATCTCCTGGGGTACCGGTCTGCTTTGCTTTCTTTTTCTTGCTTTTCTGTTTCGGGGCAGGTTTTAGCTCAGTTTCACCTGTTTTTTCCTGATCTTCAGCACTCAATCTTTCTCCTTCACCGCGTTTGACAGCTCCTTTACCTGCAAGCTCCTCTCCTGCAGGCTTCACAGGGACGTCAATCTCGGGGGGTTCTCCCGACTCTGTAGGACCCATCTCCCCCTCCCCTCGACCCACGCTAACAGATTCCCTCGGGGCTGCCGGCGTTACCCGGTCCAGGCTGCCCGCTCGCTCTCCACGCTCAGAAGCCACCACTGCATCTTCTTCACCTGCCACAACTCCCTCCGCACTTGCACGCCCCCTCCTCCTCCTCTCCTCACCGCGAAGCACCTCTGTCTCCCAGAACGACTGCTCTTCCTCCAAGCCCAATCCCTCTACTTTCTCTGTCCCTCCGTCGTCTTCTTCTCTCCCCCTTTCCTTCCCCCAAGCTGCTCCCACCTGGGAGCTGCTTTTCGCATCCCCTTTTTCCAGAGCCCTTACCACCACCGTCTCGTCAGGGCGAGATGCTGCACCGAACACTGAGGGGGATCCTGGAGTCGGTTCAGCCTTGGCGTGGGGGTGATGTGTCACACCACGCCCTGAAGTTTCTGGAGGTTTGGATTTCCCTTCCCTCAGTGTCACTGGGGTTTTCTTGGTGGCAGCGGCCGCACCTCCGGCTGTGTCGTAGCTCGCCGCTTCAGATTCAGCTTTGTGCTCAGCACCATCAGACTTCTTGGCAGCACGGGTAGAGAGGACAACATCCTCTTCTTTTGGAGACATTTTTTCCTGGAAAAGGTGGGGTTTATCTGCTCTGCAGACCTCAGAACCGTGTTCCCCGTCGGCTATTTGTGCATCCTGAAGACTGGCAGCTAATTTTTGACTAATCAGTTCTTTTTTAACAGCTTCCTTTAAAGTCAATCTTTTCCCACTGCTAGCATCGACAATTCCCCCAGTCCTCATCTGGTTGGTGGCGATGAGTTTGGCCATCTCCTCATCCAGCAGCCCTCGCTCCAGGGCAGCCCTCAGGGAGAGCCTCTCGCTGACCGTCCCCTCCACGACCCCCCCGCTGTCGGCCTGAGCCTGCAGCAACCGCAGGGTGGGCAGAGGGTCCACCTTCCCCAGCCTCACCGCCTCGGCACACGTCAGCTTGGTCCCCGTCACCTCATCCTTGATGGCTCTGAAGGGATGGACCGCCAGATACCTCTGGCCAGATTCAACGTCAATTTTACACTTCTTTATGAACTCCGAGTAGGGAACGATCATGCAGGTCTCGGGATCTACAATTCCTTCTTTCATCTCTGAAGATGACAGGACCTTCTCCATAACCTGCTCAGGCAGCAAGCCCTCCTTTACCGCTTGACAGAGAGCCACTCTCTGGCCAGAAGCAGGATCAAAAATGCTTCCACTCCCAGCCTGGATCTCTTGCACTTCCCTCTGGAAGTCCGGACTAACGAGCCCTAACGACACCGCCTGGGGCAAGGACAGTTTCTCCTTTGTAACTGGATGAACGTAGTCCTGCAGGCACACGCTTTCAGCTTTCGTGAGTTCGTTACATAGATCTTGATCAATCAAACCATGTCTCATTGCGTTGTTTACCGAAAGCCTCATTCCAGACACGTGATGGATGATCCCTCCATCAGCAATCTGCTTTGTCAAGAGCTGAAAAGCTTTTTCCTTTTTCAGGAGCCCTTTTTCAACAGACTGCGCAACAGTCAAAGGCTGCTTCGTTTCGGGATCCACAATTCCACTGGTCTCAGCCTGTAAGCTGACGAGCTTCTGCCTGGTCACCTCATCAGTGCCTTTCCCTTTGCAAGCCTTCTCCAGCTTGATCAGCTCTTTCTGACTTGTTGGCTCTATGAGGCCCAGATTTGAAGCCAAAGTGACCGATATTTTTTTGCCACGTTTCAAGTCAACAATCCCCCCAGTAACCACTTGCCCTTCCAAGATCCTCATTGCCGTTTCTTTGTCCAGAAGGCCAACGGCAGCCGCATCCTTGACAGAGTAGACAAAGTTATTGCCTGGGTCAAGAACGCCACTTATCGCTTTGTCAGAGGCGAGTACCTTCTGGAGAAGCTTCTCATCCATCAGACCTTCTTCAATGACATCCTCAGTGGTCAGCGATTCACACGTGTGAGAGTCAAAGAAGCCACTGAACATCCTCATCTTCTCCATCAGTTTCACTGCTGTGTGGCCGGGCACCACTCCACGGCCAACGGCTTCATTTAGAAGAAGAGTCTTGCCTGTCTGCTCATGGATTATGCCACCGCTTCGGAGCTGCCTTAAGAGCACTTCCAAAGTGTCCTCTGCTTCCCGCTCCGCAGGGGCTGGCAGGGATGTTTCAACAACATCCTCATCACCTAGTACTTCTTTCCCCTCTCCTTCTTCCACTTCCAACACACTTGCCACGTTTTCGCTTTGCCTCTCTCTCTGCTCTGCCTCTCCAGCTTGAGGCAGCACCATCTCCTCTCCTCCCAGCACGGCACTCTCAATTGTTTCCTCATTTAGCAAATAAATCTCTCTAACACCTTCGGCCTCTACTTCAGGTTCCTCCACACCCTGAGACCTCTCTGCCATGATTTCCAGTCTTTCTCTACTTTCCGAAACATCCATCGATATGCAGATTTCACTTTTCACAACTGCCCCGCTTTCCAATGCCCTCTTCTGATCTTTGACACTTTCCACTCCATCTTCTGTAGTAGGCTTGGAGCCGTCTTCTGCCTCAATCATCATTTCCTCTGTTTCTCTGAATCCACTACCAAGGTCACCAGGACCTCCTGGCATCGATAACTTTACCTGACGTTTGTCCTTGCTTGTAGAAGTTACTTGCTCTCTTCCAAACTCAGCATCAGTCTCACTCTTGACGGCAGCCTGTTCGGTATAAACCCTGCTTGTAGAGAAGCGAGAGCAGATATCTTCTGCATCCTCTAACAGGAGGCTTTCAGGTCCCATCACCACCTCCCCATTCTCCAAAGCAGTTCTGGGTGGCAGGACCTTTCCACTTTGTTCTTTTGAAGGAACAAACTGAAACTCAAGCTGCTGCAAAGCCAAACCATTGCACGGCTCGCTTTCAAGAGCTGCATTTGCCTTCGTCTCCTCGAAGCCTTCACTGCCTTCCAATGTGTGTGCACAGGATCCATTTTCTTGGCTTTGGATAAGGGCTTTAGTGAGATTGTTCAACTCTCCGTCCACTAAGAGCAGCTTCTGGCCATCACGGACGTTGATGTAGCTGTGGGTCATCAAGTGGAACATCAGCCTTTCATCGTCGCTCCTTAGCAGAGGGTCACTTCGCTCTTTGGGACCTGTGGGACTCCTTCCAGAAGAGCTTTGGCCATGCCTGCTTCTGCTTGGAGAGCCAGCAAGCTGCATGCTGGCCATGACATCAGGTATGACTGTTGATTTCAGCTTCTTCGCCACATCTCTCTCCAAGATGCCATGTTCAACTGCCTTCTTCCAGGACAAAACCTCAGTGGTTTCTGGTATAAAGACCGCCTTAATGAGTTGCCTTTTGCTGAGAATCTTGTAAACCAGCTCTGTAGATAGGATTCCTTGCTCTAAAGCATCTGCAACTGGGACAATCTCCCCTGTCTCTGGCCACAGGAGCCCCATGAAGGACCACAGGGATTCCAGGACCACCAATGCAATCCTTGGTGCTACTAACTCCTTCCTTACAGCTTCATCAATTGTCAGCCTCTCTCCCGTGACGGTATCAATGATGCCACCCGTCTGAAGCTGCCGGATAAGAAGGGTGCATGCCAAATCCTGGTCAATTAAATTATGTCTCACGGCCTCATCAACAGTCAGCCTGTGCCCTGTCCTAGGGTCAACAATGCCACCAGCAAAGAGGTGGGCTTCCAGCAACCTGACCGTTACCTCCCTGTCTATCAGCCCTTCCTGGACTGCACGGAAGATGCTGACTTTTCTGCCCGATTTCAAGCTCACCATCCCACCCGCCAGCTGCTTGACTGGGAGCAGCCTCAGTCCAGTCTCTTGGTGGACGATGCATCGGTGCATGAGCTCGGATAGACTGATTTTTTCAGCAGTGTTGGGGTCAATCAAATCCTTGCCACCCTCCAGGTGAGATACAAGTCTGGAATAAAGCTGGGGGGTAAGGAGTCTTTCCTGCACCGCTGTCTCCATGCTGATTCTGCCCCGACGGACTTTAAAGCCCCCAGTGACGAGCTCAGCTTCAAGAATCTTTAGCCCAACGCTCTCACTGATCCTCCCCTCTTCTATCGCAGCAACAACAGGTAGGAGCTGCCTCCCTTCACGTCTGACTTCTTCCACCCGGTGGAGAGCATCCTTCAATTCCTGCAGCACCTGGAACGTCCTGAGATCGATGATGTTTCTTGCCAGACCTTTCTCCAAGGAGAGTTTCTCACTGGTCTCTGGAACAACTAAGTCAGATGTGATAACCTGGGCCTCCAAGAGGACGAGGCCAGTGTCCTGATCTATAAGACCTCTCTGCATGGCACCAAAGACAGGGAATATTTCTACCGTGCCAAGATCGATCACTCCTGCCACTGCTTCGCTGCCCTAGAACAGAAAGAGAAGGAAAATAATTAAATCAAAATCGAGCATTTCCAGCACTCAGATTGCAAGAGTTCCAGGGAGGTCTCAGTTTCAAAAAAAAAAAAAAGTTTAAAACCCCTAAACAGGCTAGAGAGTGAGTCCCAAAGTGTTTGAAATGCAACTCCAAAGGCATCACAGCACGCAAATTGCTGCATTTGCCAGCTTGCAGGTTGCCAGCAAGTTTTAATGCCCATCTAGTCCATCACCCAGGGCAGCACCGAGATGCTTCCAACATCCACCACCAGTAACGCAGCAAAGCGGCAAGCAGCAAAACCCAGAAGTGCTCCTAATGCTCCACAGAGAAACAGAGGGAAGACCACCAACAAGCACACCAAAGCCATTCCAAACTCCGGTTTTAAAAAGTACGGACAACACAAATCCCACTGTCTACTCATAGAGGAGGACAAAACCACCGACGATGCCCACTTCAGGGTACCTAGGAATCTCTCCCAGCGCAGCCTCCACATGGACTCCTGCCACGCTTTAAACCCTGCACTGCCCAAGCAGATCTCAAGTGCCAGGACGGCGGGGGAACACCGCAGACCCCGTCCCACGGAGCAGCTCCCCAGCCCCACAGACCGGCCATGCACGGGGGCAGGAGGGCACCATGCAGGGCAGCTCCCCGAGCACGACCACCGGCACCCGCCCGGCACCTGGCAGTAGCCACGCTCTTCAGAGGGGGCAAGGGGAGAAACGTTGAGAAGCTGGAGGTCCCAGCATGGAAACAGCGACAGACTGGGAACAGACCATTGACTCTGGTGTTCCTGGAGGGGCTTTTCTCTTCTTGCTGGTACCCCCACAGGGAAGGAAATCATTAAGATGATGGAGAGAAACGGCTCCTTGGACGTTTGGGTTTCTCCCAGTCCCACTGGTTGGGTATAAGGCTGGCCCAAGCACTAAAAGATTTTTGTGGGGATAGGGAAGATGGAATCGGGATTGTGGAATGACTTTCTTTTGCATCCCCAACACTGATATTTTTTTTTTTGTAATCGGTGGGTCTGACAGCACAGGCGGCGGGGGGTGCTCAGGAGCCGCGGCACAGCTCGGTTCGGGCAGAGCAGAGGGCGCAGCCCCCACCACGCTGATCTGCGCATCCCCCCACCCCCTTCTGCTGTGGAGACGGGGTGAACCTCCTGGAAAAACCTACGCTCCCCACCACCATCGCCAGACTCTGACATGCAGGTTCAGAGACGAACAAGCCGTGGAACGACAGAGAAGAGGGAGGGGGGAAGAGAGAGATAAAAAAGGAGATGGGAGGGAGGGGGGTAAAAGGCTTTTACTTACCCGAGTTGCAGGGTGTGCCTTGAGCAGTTAAAGACAGAGCCTTACGGAGCAGTTCAGCCGTATCACACACAGTGTAAAGCTTGGTGTTAGCGTCCAGCATGCGACTGTTTTGTTTGCAAAAAGAACCCCCCACACAGGTCGTCCTCTTTCACTTTGTGCGTTTTGTTTGTTTAAATCCCGGAGGGTTAGTTAAAACTTGTAAGCAAGGATGTCAGTTAATCTTAAAAACAGTTGACATGAAACACAAACTGTACAGGGACACATCATGCTCAATTTAGCGCGTTCTGCTTTGCATTTTTGTCTCTTACAACTTCGCTCTGACAGTTGGATGTTTCCAGCAAGCAAATGTTAAGAGTTCCTCACGCTCCCTCTACGGTGAAGCAACCGCACCAGAGCCGCAGGGATCACCTCGTAGGTGGGGGCCTACGGCGAAGCCCTGCTGCCATCTCTTCTTTTGTCTCGGGGGCTTCACTGAGAACGTGAGTGAAAACTGTTCCAGCCTGAGCCCCAAAGCGCGCTCATGCTGTACAAAACCAGCCCGGCAAGCCCTGGAGAAGGTTTTTGCTATAAAGTCGTTTTCCTTCCTGGGAGGGAGGAAAAGGGAAAGGAAAAAGCATCCTTCCCACAGCAAGGCTGCGCTCAGCCGCTCTCCTGGCGGCAGCGGCATCAAAGCCGTGATGGCTCAGCAGCAACCGACGAGTCGGTTTGCTCCCCGCAAGTTTTCTGCTGCCAGCACGAGGGCTAAAGGGCTTGCAGTAGAAAGTGTTTACTGCACCTGAGATGTGCTACGAAGTCCAATTTGGACAGAAACCCTCTACGTTTAGGTGAAAGCTGGACAGGCAGATTTCAAACAAGCAGCCCCATCGCCCTCTTCCCGCGAGCGGCTCGAACAGGGCTTCACTCACGGACCCAACGGCCAAACCCTCCGTCATGCGTCCAGATCTGAGCGGGCCGTTGCTTCAGAGTACAGGGAGCCAGCAAGCAAACACACAAATATATCCATCGACACATGTATATACACTTACAGAACACGTACACGTATATCTGTGAATGACCGAAGACAGCTCATAACAGAGGCAATAAGGATGCGCTTTCAGCCCTCCCTACCCAGCGAAACAAGGATGGGGACAGGGAATGGGTCCAGCTATGGGTCGTGAAGGTCTCCCAGGTCAACTGAGGGCCTGGACGACGCAGTCACCTTTCACTGGGGAGACCGACTTCATTCAGCCACAGCCGAGACAAACCTCTCGCCAGACCCCGCACGGGCAAAGGCCCTTCTGCAGAAACCCACCTTCTCGTGTCTCCTGCAGGCAGGCAGCCTCTGAGATGGAGCCCTCTGCGGTTTAAGCACTCGGAGGGCATTCCTCAGAGGACACCGATTTGCTAAGGGGGTGGTTTCCAGGACAGAGCTCCATCTACACCCCTGCCCACCAAGCGTGAACAAGCCAACCCTTGTGCACAGGGCAGAGCTCCGATGAAAACCATCGCCAAGGACAACTCTCCCATTGACCTGGAAGGCATCAGGTAAAGGGCTCCTGCTGGGCCTCCAGGGATCACCCCAGCCTGGATGCTTCCATGGCACACGGATGGAAGAGAAGGGAGGGCAACCACGTGCAAGTAAGCAAGGCGATGGGCTGTGAGTGGTTGGTGGCCATGAGACACGCAACCCAACAAAACCTTTTTCACACCCTGAGGAGTGCTTTGTGTCCGTGCAGTCGCGGCAGGGAGCGGGGATCAGTACCTTGTGCTCTGTCTCCTGAGCCAGCTGGCTCTGGAGCTGCTGGAGCTGCTCCGTGGAGTCGTTGCAGAGTCCCTGGTAGGTCTCCTTGAGGGCACCGATCTGAGCAGAAATCTGTTCCTTCTCTGGATGGGAAAGCCTGCAAGGGGAAAAAAAACAAAACAAAAGAAGTCTCTCAGAGAAACTGCACAAACCAGCTCCCAGCTCTGCAGAATGAACTTGTTCTGGTGAAGGAAAAGGCCAAACCCACCGCAAGTCCCCTCTTCCCACTGCCCTACTCCTCGCCCAGCTCAGCTAAAACCCGCAAGGGTAACTGTGCTCCGCAGAGGCGGACCTGCACTGTAACGACCAAACCCCCGACACACAGGGCTGGATCACCACTAAAGGGCATCAGTATTGTCCAAACAGCAAAAACGGGTTGCATATTTCGTAACTCTTGTTGCAGATAAGAAAGAAGGTAACTGTCACGTGCAGCTCATCGCTGTTTTTAACAAGAGTCAGGCCCTGGACCCCCGCCCACCAGCGCCAGCCCTAAGGTCCCTCATCTCCCCCCACTGCTCTGCCTGTCCCCTCCTCGGGCCACACTCACTTGTGGCTGTGTTTTGCCAGGAAGATTTGTGAAGTTTTGATGGCCTCAGAAACCTGCTCCTTCTTCATAGCCAGCTCCTCATTCAGGGCCTGTCAAAAAAAAAAAAAATTAAAAAAAAAAAGAAAAAAGCTTAACTCAGCTGCGGAAAAAGAGCAGAAGTTCAACCAACGGTCTGACAGTTGCCCCCGGTTTACCTGCTGCTCCGAGATGGATTTCTCGATGTCGCCCAGCTCTCTGCCCCCGGCAGCGGCCGTCCTGCCCTGCACGCTCTGCTTCACGCCCAGGGCCCAGCCCAGGAGCTCCTTCACCTTGTCGACATGCTCCTGCTTCTCCTCCTCCACCACTTTCTGCAACCAGAGGCGGGAGGGAGATAACCACATCAAAGAGGTCCCAGATCTCCAAAGGCAGAGAGGCTCTCAGAAGCAGCACCCAAGACGTAACCTCAACACGGAGCAGCACCCTTTGGGGTGCTAGGAAATGAGCCTGCACATTTTGAAGCGAGTTCAGTTCTGTACAACGCCCTTACCTCCTCCTCCTCCAGCCGCCGGAGAGCATCGCTGATGTACTTCACGTGCTGCGTGGTTAACGTCACCAGAGCCGTATAGCGAGTCCGCAAATCCATGAACTGCCAAGGGAGAGAGGGGGAAATGGGGCGCATCAGTCACGAGCAGCAGACCCGGAGCGATGTACTTTATGGTACATGACATGGATGCATCATCTCTCGCTTGGGAAGCCCCCCAGGCACCTCGCAGACCCCGTAACGGCATCAATGAAACGCAGCAAGTCTGACGGGGAGGGTTGTGGCCACACACGGCATGCTGCACGACACTGGAGCGAAGGGGAGACTCCGGTCACGGACACTGGGGCGGATGCTCAACTCTTACAAGAGGACTACTGGGATCTTTAATATCCACACGGAGCAGACAGGACCTCGGGGTCCCTAAAGGTCTCGTCCCAAAGATCCACACACAGTAACGCCGCACGGCGCTCTGGTTATTTACCTCGCAAGGCTGAAGGGCTGAGCCGACCCCGCTGGATTTGACCCAGGGGTTCCCAGGAGTCTAGGTATTTCATATACCTGGTGCTTAGAGCACTAAGCCATCCTCTCTGGCTATTGGAAAAAACAGCGAGGGTGGAAACTTTATTTGTACGAGAGAGTTCAGCAGAAAGGAGCTCAATTCACAGAGGCTGCTTGGCGGTTTGCTCAGCATCGAAGAGCCCCCCCCCAATTTCTCCCTGGCGAGGCTGGGCGGGCGGCCGCGCTCCTACCTCCTGCGTGATGGCATCTGAGGACGAGAGCATGCGTCGGCGTTTCATGGGAGACTTCTGCTGTGACTCAACGAACGCCCTGTACGTCATGAGCTGCAACTCGTAGTCCTGTAAACACAACCAGGGGTGGAGAGAGATGGAGCATGAGAGATGCAAACTGTGCTGAGGGCTGTTTCTGCCCAGCCAGCCTTATCTAGGCGCAGGAGGGGATCTGTACCTTGACGGCAGCCGAGTATTGCTGGGAGAATTTCTGACATTGGTCCAGTTTGGCTTGATTTTTCTCGATTTCTGCAGCCAAAGCCTTCAACAAAATTCAAAGCAAAAATGGTTGTCAGGACAGCTGCTGCAGTGGCGAGCTGAATTTCAGCCCCCATCCCTCCCCTTTTGGGTAAAGTCTTTATACTTTTCAATTTTTTGATGCAAGGCATCATCTCCACCTCAAGCTAAGCAGAGCTTCTTCACTTCCCAGACGCCCAGCTCAGGCCTGCAGCCTCCTCCCCGCTGTGTTTCATAATTTCAAGCTCACAGATGAAAAGATTTCAGTAAAAGAAGTGACGCAGTCACTGCAGCAACTGTGCTTCCGAGACATCACGAGGTCCTACCGTTTGCTGGCTCAGCTGCTCCGACAGCACTCGGCTCTCCTCCGCCTGCCCAGGCTTCATCAGCTCCTGCTGGACCGTGATCTCCTCGATCCACTGGATCAGGGCACTGTGGCACTGCCGGTAATCACTCAGCACCTCCTGGATGCTCTCCAGCTCTGCGTGGCTGAGAGAAGAACCAAGACAAGTAAGAGGAGGGCAAAATGCCACGGCAGGCTATGGGGATATCCCAGCCACCAGCGGGAATCCCATCTGGAAAAATATCGCTGCTAACAAGCCTGACCCAAGCTCTCAGCTGAAGCATGAACGTAAATGTGTGAAAGGAGGCCAGAGGTTTCTCACCGGGTCTCAATCTGGGCGCAGACTCGCTGCCAGCGATCCCACAGCTGGCTTCCCTTCTCCTGATAGCGCTCCAGGTCGATGCTGCGCTCTTGTCTCAGCCGGTACAGCTGCTCTCCCACCGCCTTCGCCTTTGCCATCTCCTCCTCCAACGTGGAGAAGACCGAGCTCTTGTCCTTCGCTTCCCCGAGCCACTGCTGCAAAACCAGCAAGAGACAGCACCGGTTCAACGTCACGGGAAGCAAAAGGCACGTTAAGTCAGGGATGCCCTCCTGCCCGCAGCTGACAAGCCTGAGAAGGGGTTTATCTTCCCACTCTCCTTAACCTGCAAAGAACTGGCTGATTACAGGACGTGCAAAAAACGGAGGGGACCACGTTCCCAGCTTGGAGCAAGTCAGATTGGTTCAGCCCCCATCCTACAGCAACAGGACGCGCAGCTGCCAAGATGCCAGCGTGTGCCCTGCAAGAGAGGGCACAAGCCACAGCAGCTCCTTTACCTTTACAAAGCAACAAGGGATCACATAAGCAGCACAGAATCCTCCTGGCAGCTAAATCGAAGCAAGGAAAATGGCATACAGTAGAGATTCAGCAGAGAAAAGGAAGGATCCTGACAAATGCCAAAGCGTTGGCTGGTTTCTGCCTGCCCGCCTTGAGAAGTGACCAGCACCAACCTGCAGGGCTGCTCGGTGAGACTGAATAGCTGCCAGGTCGGCGGGGACTGCTTCCTCCTGGCTCAGCTTCACCTCGTACCCTTTCACCAGAGACTCTGCTCCTTGGGTGTTACGAATAATAACATCAACCGTCTTCAACCTGGCAAACCAAACAGAGGCCGCACAATGACATCCAAAATTTGGCAGAGATCCTTTCGATCGCGAGGCTGTTGGCACCATACGCCGCAGGGGGACAGAGCGCGGTGACGGTTCCGGGCACAGTGTGTGTGAGGGTCAGAAGAAAGGTCTTCAGCAGAATTGGGCAGATTCGAAAAGGGGGTTGGGAACAGAGGCACGTCCCGACTCACTTGTCCAGGTAGATGGAAGACAGCCCGTACATCTGGTCCATCTTGTTCACCACCAAGTCAAGTTCAGAACGCAAGTGAGGCGTGCTGGACCCCGCGGGTGCCTTGTCGAGGAAGCTGTAGCATCTCTCAGAAACAAACCGCCCGCCACCCGCCGCAGATCCTCCTGCATGCGCTACGGGAGGAAGGGAAAGAACGTGAAAGGAGAGCCCAAGCAGGCGGAGAAAAAAGCAGGATTGCCCTTGGCAAAGGAGATGGTATGCAACCAAGCAGGGAGCCCACCTGGAGAGGTTTCCTGCTACCTTCTGCGCCGCAAGATCCCCTCGAACCCCGCACAGTCACGTACCCACCACCCACACGTTCACCCCGGAGAAGCTAAAGCCATTTTTTGGCACATGCTAAAGACCAGCGGCCACCACCTCCCTCCCCTCCACATCTCCCAGCAGCAGGACTGACCTCCTGCTCCGCGATGCGGATGGTGTTTTCCTGGATAGTGTCACCATCTGCTCGGGTGCTGCTTGGGGACTGGATTCGGCTCACTAGCCTCTGCTCACATTCCTCCAGGCGCAGACGGATATTCTTGAGCTCAGAGAGATATGTCCTGGCAACGGTCTCATCCTTGTCTTCTGCAAGTCACAGAAAAAACAAAACCACAGCTTAAACAACCCCAGCCGGTACCTGCCCCAAAATGGGACCTGCCAGGAGCCCTGGAGCTGAGCGTGGCATCGCACTGACACCGAGGCACCGGGGTCTCTGCCCAGACGGAAAACAAGTTAATCAAATCATCTCATTCAAACGCAGCTGAGAACGAGTCCAGCCACAGGGCATTTCGCATGACGAAGCCGGAGTCCCCGCTCTTTGTGGGACTCAGTGCTGCTGTGTCACATGTGTCACCACCACGTATATTTTCTTAAAGATTAAACGCAGGAAGAACTCCTTGCTCAGAACCCGTCCTAATGCCTAAACCCATCTCCAACAATATTGGGGTAAGAGGACTCGGCAGTTAAGCTGAAGCTGCAAAGCCGAGCCCTCTCTGCAGGAACATCACTGGACAGCGAGCGAACACTTGAATGGATGGAGAAACAAGGAGAGCAGCTGCTGACACCATCAACGAGCTAGCTCGTAAAAAAAATGAAGCCATCCCATAAATCCTTTGTTTATGATTCCCCACAGCTCCTGGTTAACCCATCAGCCCTTTGAAGCTCACCGTTCTCCATGGACTCCAGCAGCTGCCGGATGTGTTCCTTGGAAGACTCCACTTCCTCCTCCAGGCGCAGCCGGTCCGACACCGAGAAGAGCTCCGAGTCCCGGCTGTCCTGCACGAAGTCCTCGTAGTGTGCCTGGAGGCTCTTCAAGGCTTGCTGGCATTCCCCTTGCGCTAAGGATCTGAGCTGCAAGTGGAAAAGCGGCACATCCAACCACCGGGAACAACTTCCTACACATCACCTGCAGCCACCCTCCCCGGCTTCATCACCTTCCTTTGCCAAGTGAGTATTTTCTCTTTAGAGGAGGAAAAGCGAGCTCCTCCGTACCAGCCTCATGCCTCCCTCCAGCCTTGCTCACTCCCTAATGAAACGTTAAGTCCACAATCTCTTGTGCTTTTTACAGTTCAGAGGCAAACTGCCGATGCTCTTTTTATCGGGGAAAAACTGCAATCACTTTGCACAGAACCCCCAAGCTCAGGTTTTCCCACCGTTCCAGGTGCAAAGACCCTGGACTTCTCCCCAACTTGCAGTCTCTGGTCTCCCCTTTCCCCTCAGCCACATGAAGAGCCCCGGACAGCAGCAACGCAGCCCCGGAGCCAGGCAGAGAAGTTCCTGCCGTACCTTCTCCATGCTGAAGCTTTGCACCAGGGCTATGTCCTTCCGCAGGTAGTTCCAGGAGATCAGGCTCTTTGTGTTCATGTGGAGCTGGTGCCAGAGAGCCATCACCTTCTGGTACAACTGCTCTACCCTGCGAGGGGAAGGAGCAAATCCGTCAGCCCTGGATCTCCCCAGCAGGCTCAGCCTTGTCCCTGTTAATCCAGCAGCCACGGCATACCCCACCAGCCACGGCAGCCCCCCGAGGCAGCGACCCCGGCCTGGCAGCCCGCAGCGAGCGATGCTCCTGCCGTTCAGTGCCAGAGATCCCTGGAGAGACGCCTCCTCCCAAAGCATCATCTCCCCCCCTGCAAGCTACTAGAGCAGTTGCTGCGAGGGAGTTTGCAGCTGTATAACCGTGAGGGATTCCTTCCCTCACCCCAAATCAGCTGTGCCACCCACTCCTGCTCCTCCACCCCAGCTCCTCTCCCATTCCCACCCCAGACCCGTTCCCTCCCATGCCACCAAGCCCCTTCCCCACCTCCCTGCCATCGCATCTCTGGGACTCCCCGGCAGCAAGGTACCTGTTGGCCATCTCGATGGCCTCTTTGTTGGGCGGGGGGATGAGGAAGCAGACGGAGGGGACCATGGCCTCGTTCCCCGTGGGGCTGATCACCTTCCACTTGGTCCTCTGGGAATTGTCCTCCAGCACACACTCGTCGTTCCTACAGATCGTGATCTGCAGCGGCACCAACACCACCCAGAAACCCATCAGAAACCAGCAGCGGGGCTGCGCACGCCTGCCCTTGCTGCCAGCTTCCCTCCCGGGGGCGAGCCAGCTTCCATAAATATATATACATATATATTTTAATCAAGCAAAAGCCTGGTATAGCGCCAAGCAGCGCAGCACGCTCATGTCTGGAGAGGAAAGGCCAAGGAAGTTAAACGGAGTTGGCTACCACCCACATGCGTATTTGGCTGAGGCTGATGAAGCCCATCCTCCTTGCGGAAAGGGACTTCAGCTCTTGCCTAGAATAAGGCTGAGACATGGAAATCTGCTCCAGGAAACACTGCCGTGCTATTTCCCTCCTTCTGTCTTCCCACTCCAAACACTGACGGACCCCATGGAGCTCATCCTAAACCATCACGGGTGCTGCTCCCCCACCTCGTCCCTGCCTTCCCTTTCAAAGTCACGCCGACCCCCTTCCAGCCCTCACCTCGATCTGCCGATAGTCACAAACAGCCTTGATGGGGATCGTGCTCTTCACGAGGTGCTCCGGGTTCCTGGGCCGGAGCTGAACGATGGTTTTGGACCGTCCCACCAGGCTGGCGACGGAGCTCTTCGACTGAATGAGCTGCTCCTTCTCGTCCTGGTAGAAAGAAGGATGAAGGACGGGTTGCTGGAGGCAGGGGAGAGGAGGTCTTTCCCAGACATCTCAGCACCCCCCCACCCCAACGCTGGCCTGCAAGAGCTACGCTGGGATCTCAAGGGCTGAACAAACACATCAGGAGGATCCTGCTGCCCTAACGGGGTGGGAAGAGGGGCCAGGAGATGGGATGGAAGGGAGAACGGACTCCAAGTCCACTACTACTCCCACTGCCCTGCAAAGCTGCATGCACACCTCTGGCTCTTTTGCTGCTAGGACAAGAAAATATTTTCTTTCAAAAGGGAAAAAATGAGAACACAGCATACACCAAAATTAAAGTCCCAGGAGGTGCAAGGGGCCAGGAGCAGGTCAAGTGCCAGCCCAAAGCCAGGGACGTTTCGTTGTCTGGAGGAGAGACCCCAGAAGCATGCTCCCTTTTCTAAAGCGAAGGATGAAGGCACGTTTAAACCAACGACTGGAATGGGGATACGATGAATTATGCAGATAAAACATCTCAGGAGAAGGGGCTAGAGGTGGAGTGATCGCACAGGTCTCTGGGTTTGAGTAGAAATTTGCCGGTTGGAGGAAGGTGCTGCGTAATTGATTCCCACAAGTCCCCGCTGGGTTCGGTGATGGGGCAACCCGGGAGACTGGTGGCAAAGCTGCCCTGGAACAGCCTCCAGCACCGCCGGAGACCTGTGCGGATCACAACACTGGCAGCTCGTGTGATTAGTGGCAGCTCAGCCCATTCTGGCTGCAAAAGTTTAAAAAGGATCCCAGAAAAATGTTCTCCCTCATGCTTGGTACTCTCGGGGTTGGTTAGTGAGCTAACAACAGTGGAGGATAATTTAATGGTTTAAAAACAAAAAGAAAACGAAAAGAATAAATGATTAAATAAACTACCTGTGCCTGTCCCAGGGAGCATGATTGGAAGAAATACAACTTTAACTTATTAGGTAAGAAAGAGTAATATAGCTGAGCTCAGGGCAGCTGCCCCAGCCCTGAGATCGTGGCCGCTCTCGGGCTGCCCGGCCGAGCCTCTCCCACCCCGGACGGTGCCCGCCAGGCTCCTGGCGTTGCAGGGCTGGCAAACAGGGACTCCAGGAGCCAGGCTGGCTGCTCCGAGCCCTGGTAGTGCTGGAGGACAGACCATGACAACCCCGAGACCATGAGAGAGAGGATGGAAGCCCCCAGGCCTCTAGGAGAGAAGACGGTGAGCCCTAGCCCGGCTGATGCACCCATCACGAACACCCAGTAATGGCATCCCAGTTTCACTGGGGACACGCTGGAAATCAGCGGCATGCCCTAATAGCAAAGCCAAAGCAGCCACCTACCTCCACACACTCCAATGTCACCTCCTGGCACTTCCACCAGTGGCCCAGCGGTTAACCCACAGCCCAAATCCTCCCCCGTCCCTGGCTGCAAACACCATCTGATGCTTTGCTCCTTGGGTTTTGTTTTTAGGGTGGGTTTTTTTCAGGCCAATTCGGGCAAGCAGATCACAGCGCAATTGCCCGTCGTCCGCTGTCTGCTACGCCGCAGCTAAGCCAGGCCACGTGGTCGGAGATCAGCGCTGCCAAGCCCCCGTCCCCACGCATGGCCGAGCTGCCCTGGCTCTCCCCCCACCAGCACAGCGCGATGGATTAACGTGGGATTTGGTCTGGATAAGGAGGAGGCGTTTCTCCGCATCCCACCATGCTCCTCGCGAGCACCAGCTCAAAAGCAGAAACGGGAGCATCCTACAGGCTCTGCACAACACCCCTGTCAGCAGAACACAACCGGCTCCACGCAGCCACAGACTGGGACGGCGTGATGGGCACTGATGGGAAAGAACCAGCTCAGACGTTTTACTTTTCCACATCTCAAGCTATGAGCTTGCACAGACAGCACACGCCACCTGCTCTTCACCCCGAGGATACAGAAAGATGCTGACCAGGGCCTCCAAACAAGAGCGATCCTGTAACAACCGAGATCTGGCTCCATCCATGCAGCCTGCACCCCGTGCCCACGTACAAACGCATGCAGCAGCTCCAACAAAAAGCACAACATTGACCGAGCCGGGGAAACAAACCACGTCGGGTGAAACTGCGTCGTTGTAGGAATAAAACGAGCCCAGTTTTCCCTGGGAAGCAAGAGGTACCCCAAGCAGCGCTGCTGGACCAGGGCAAGAAGGCCACCTATCGCCCGCCCAGGGTGGCAGGGATGATGGAGAACCCACCATGGAGTCCTGAAGCAGGTCCTCCAGCCGCGTCAGGCTTGTGTTATGGTCACAAGAATACTTCCTTTTGATGGAGTCCTGCAGGTTGCGCAGGTAGGTCTCCGACTCCCGGGCGTCACTGAAGAACTGCAAAAGCAAAGAGGGTCACCAAACCCTGCTGAAGTCCACCGAGGAGTCAGCACCACGCCGCAGGCAAGCACCACCCCAACATCTCAACCACCAGCTCCCGACGCTATTCCTGCCTCAGGGCTGCAAGGGCAGCGAGCATCCCACAGGGATGGCCAGAACTACCTGGAAGTTGATCCCTTTTGCCCTAGCGAGACATCCCCAGCGAGCAGTTAAGGAGAAAGAGGTGATTCAGGAGAAAGCAGCCCCCATGAGCACCACAAATCCTTCCTTCCCTCTCCCCCAAAGGCATACAAAGCTCTTGCAGCGGGATGCAGCGGACGGTGACCAGGGAAATTCGGGCTGTCCCTCCCAAGTACCTGAAAATAGGCAGCGTTCTCCTTCACGTGCTGTTCCACGCAGAGGCAGAGCTGCTTAATCCACTGCCACTGAGTCTGCACGGCAGCACTGTAGGCCTGAGAAACACACACACACCCCAAACGACGATGAATAACGAGCATTTACCAGCCAGGAGGGTCACAGGAAGGACACAGCTACAGCCGGCGGGATGTACGTAAACGGGGAAGGTCTGGCTGCAGTCAGACAGGCTGCAGTTTGGACACCGGCACAAAGAGCAGACGCTGGACCGGTGATGCTGGGGGCTGCGGCAGGCGCAGGTTTGCTTTCTCCCACCCCACAGAGACACATCAGGGAGAAACGTGTTCCTGAAGCCCTTTGCTTCACCACCACGGTTTTCCTGCAAGCCTGGATAACTCCAAGGGAGCTGCAGGAAAGGCTCACGCTCTGTACAAGCATATCTGTGTCTTAATTCGAGGTGGGGATTATTTGGGAATGGCCTCGAGTTTCTCATTGCCCTCCCCAGAACAAAACAGCTCTATCACTGCACTGATGTTCTTCTGCCACCGCAAAACACTTTATCAGCCCTGGCTGCCCGTAAGGGCACCGTGGGGTGGGACAGCAAGGTTCCCAGTCCCAGGTCAGACGATTTGCTGACAGCCGATTCTCAGGGCTCCTCCACGTGCCTGCTCACCTCTACGGTTTGCTTGGCCGGGTGGTTCTCCAGGGACAGCAGCTCGGCCGTGTCTTGGAGGGAGCGGAAGATGTCCTGCTTCTCTTCCAGCTCCATCGTCAGCTCCTGCATGAAGGACACAAGCAAAGTGCCAATCTCGGCTATGGGGAGCAGCCTCACTCAGACCACGCATCCAACTAACGCGACGTGCAGCGTGGAAGCGCTCCAGTAAACACCAGTGGCTTTCAGGGAAACCAGCACAGTTTATGGGAGTACCATTCCCACCAGGATGCCTCCCGGGCACCAAACACACGGGGCAGAGGTAACACAGATACGGGAAACCTGCCCAGGGACCTCTTCGGTTCCAGGCAGTGCCATTGTGGAAAGACAGCAATTCATTTATACTGCTTTAGAGAGGAATCAATTCTCTTCTTTAGCTTAGACTTTATTTTCCCCTCCTGCTAGTTGAAGATGCTTTTAATTCCAAATAGTGCTAAAAAGACAAGTTTTGATGCCTTTTCGATTGAAACTCAATTGAATAAACACTCTTTTGCACTTTCTTCTCTAGAGAGAGCTCTTTCATCAGCTGCACTCGTGAGCTACAAGCTCAGTGACTTGGGAGGGAGCATCCAGCACCTCTGGGGACTTCAGGTCTGTTGGTAGCTGAAGGTCCCACAGCGCATCAAAAGCAGCAGCAGCGCAACCACGAGAGCACCCGTCCCACCAGCCCTGCCCCGGGGTCACTCACCGAGAAGTAGGTCTTTTTGGCTGCAATGTTAGGGTTGTTGTTGCTCCAGTCGTAGGCCAGCTCCTCCTCCTCCTTCTCATTCAGCCAAATCAGCTCGGCCGTGGCCCGAGACACAAACCCGTGCAAGCTCTGGAGGTGTCTCAGCCGAAAGCTCGAGGTTTCCTGAACACAACAAAGTGTGATTCCTCCTCCCCGCTCTGAAGGCGACCGGTTTCTTCCCCACTCCCCAGCCTCGGAGCAGGGATGCTCCGGAGCAGGGGGCAGGGATGGACCCCACGCTCCCCGGGCAGTGCCAGAAGCCCACTCGAAGCCCACTCACCATCAGCTTGCAGTACTGCGTCTCCAGCTTGCCAAGCGTCTCCGTGTAGCTAGCGCGGAAATTCTGAGACATTTTACCCTGGAGGATGACAAACGCTCATGTTACCTGACACGGGTCGGCATCACTTGAAACCCCATCACCAAATCTTTCTCCCCAGCTCTGTGTGAGCAAGAGGAGCCGGAGAGGATGGCTCAGGGCAGCAGCCTCTTGCACCAGCCCAGCGTCAGAAGCTCCGTCCTTAAAAAATACCTCTGCCCCAGGCATCTTTACCCACAAGAGCCGATCCTGATGCCCTCACCTTCCTGTACGCATTGTGCCCATGGGCTGTGTCACCCAGCTCGTGCCACCATACCTCGTACATCCTGGCCTCCTTTACACTGGAGCCCAGGTCCTCCACGCTGGTATGGACGTGCCGCTGGGTCTCCAGCTGGGTTTCCACGCTCGGCAGGTCGGTCCCCCACTCTGCCCGCTCCAGTCTCATCTGAAACAGGTCGAGAGGTCCAAGTCAGCACTCCTCATCTGCAGGAGCGTATCTCAAAAAGGACACAAGGGCAAGGAAACCTCCTAGGTCACTCAGGAGGGAACAAACACCATGCCAGTCCTGGTAGAAGGTCCTAAGCCAGCGCTCCAACACTGAACGATTTCTGGGAGAGCCTACGCAAGCTTCACACCCATGTAAGACCAAAGGACTGACCGCGTCAGTATAGATTTGCTTCCAGCTTTGAAAGGATCTTCTGACACCCACTGATCAGCAGGATCACAAGACAGAAAACCCAACTCAAGACAAAAGCGTCAGTGCTCTCCAGAAACTTCGAACCACCAAAGCCATTATTCACAGATAAAAGCAGGAAAAAGCCCAGACCACCCTTCTACCTTCCCGCATCAGTGTGAGCGGAGGCAGGTAGTTTGGCCCAGACCGCCAGCACTCACCTGCATTTCCTCCACCCAGGCCAGCAGCTCGTACACAAACCGGAGGCTGCCTTCATCTTCGGAAGAAGAGATGGCCACCAGCTCCGTCCTGGTCATGGGCTTCCGGAACCAGGAGGCAGAGGAGGTGTGCAGCCCTTTGGTCAGGGACTCGCCCTTCAAGTGCGTGGTGCTCAGCGTGGCACTGGGCACCAGCTCCAGGGAGGAGAAGTGCCCTTTCCTGTACAGGTTACTGCATTCCAGCCTCAGCGTCACCAGCTCGTCCTGCAGCCGCATGATCCTGGAGAGGCAAGCAAGGCATGGGTAAGAAGATGCACGCACACTCCCTCCTTCCCCACAACAGAGCAGAGGAGCCCCATGCATCAGCCCCTGACCACGTTTCTCCATCCAGACCACGTTGGACACGGCCGCTCTCACCTGAACACCAGCTCCTCCAGCTGATAGTAATTCTCATCCCGAAGGATCTGCACATCCACCTGTAGCTGGCGGATGAGCCCCTCGCACTCCTGCAGATACACGACCACGTCGGATTCGTACTGCACTGGCTGGCCCGACTCCAGGTGAGCAGCGTCCTGCACCGAGAGAGGGGAGACCGAGGGTTGGGTCCCCTCAGCCCAGGCAAGTGGGCAGAGAGAACTCGGTAACAGCTCAGCATCGACTTTAAGACTGAAAAGATCTTTTGATCCGCAAGCTTGACTCGAGTAGAAGAACATGAGTTCAGCACTCACACCACACCCAAGACATCCCCTTCAGAAAAGCTCCTGCGGATGAACCGAAAGCTTCCAGCGACAGATGGGCTCCCGTGGCTAGTCCCGTGGAAAGTCACTTAAACGCGCATCTCATTCCTTCCTTGGGTTTCGCCATTTTTAGCTCCCAACCCTTACATCTCTTTCTCCCAGAACAAAACACCCCTCTTCAGAAACCTAATCCTTATCCAGGTAGCTACAGTCTGCCAATCTTTTAGACTAATAAAACAGATTTGGGGGGTTTTAAGCCTCATTGTACAACAAGCTTTCCCAGAACTGCTGTTTGTCCTCCAAGCCAGCGCCTCTGCAGACACCCAGCCTCGCTAGCTGCATCCCCAGAGGCAGCCTCCTGCATGGCAAGGCCGTTCCCCCGTCCCCCTGTCCCCAAGGTCCTCGTGCCACAGATCACCAGGTATCCATCACCGCCCCTACAGCCCCTCTGGGGTGGGCTCAATGTCACAAGAGAAAGGAAAGCTGGCCAGGGGAGCCCAGCACCCCACGCAGGAGAGAGGGGAGGAGATGGGCATAAAAGAAGAGGCAGGAAAACAAATAAATAAGTTAAAAAATCAGGAGGGGGAAAATAACACCCCCCACTCACAGCCTGCAGCGTGTTCTTTGCGAGAGTGAGTTTTTCTTCACAGCTCAGAGCACCATTCTGGATTTTGTTAGCGATTTGCAGCAGCAATTCCAGCCTGCGATGACAGAGGGAAGGAGAATGAGAGAGGGGCTTTGGGACGTCCCCCCGGCCAAGGGAGCAGGGGACATCCCCGCGGGGGACTCTGCCTGCCGCGGGCAGAGCACTGACCTCTCCACTGCCGGCCGCAGGAGCTTCTCGCGCTCCAGCATCTCTATGATGAGCTTCCCCCACTCCTCCTCCACGTCGTTGGGGTGGTACCCCTGGGGTAACTTGATGCGTCCAAATTCAATCCATACCTGGGGAAAACATCAACAAAATGGCATTTCCTTCCTCCTCCTCCTCCAGCTGGCTAGAGAGAGACTACAGCAAGGAAAGCGGGGCCACAAGGCAACAGCTCTGCCTCTGCTCCTGCAGCCTGCTGCTTGCTACATCATTTACCCTGAGGGTTATTTCCACTTCTCCATTCCAAAATAAACCTGAACTGAGCACAGTTTAGTCTTGCTAAAAGCACAACACTCCCACCTACAAGCCTCCGGGTAGCCATGATGATACTTACCTCTAACAGTTTGTAGAGCTCCTCTATCCCTCCTTTTTCCTGCTCTTTTGCTGGGATTTCAGTTTCTTTGAAGTGTATGTACTGGTTATAAAGTGCCTGGGATGAGAAAGGCTCATCAGAAACCACCCTGGGGAGTGCCACCACCCAGCTCTCGGCACCGAGCACAGGGGACCCTGCAGATGGACCTTGTCCAGGACCTACCTTTAGCTCTACAGGGTTCTGGGGGAAGGATTTATCTGACATGAGTATCGTGTGCTGCTTGATCCACGAGATGAGGGACTCCACGCGGCTCTGGTACTCCAGCCACCTCGAATCCACCTCCTGCGGGGCGACAGCACCCTTGCAGAGCACCGCCGGCAGGCAGGTCTCCGCGGCGGAGAGGCAGAACCCGGCCCTGCCGAGCAGAGCACGGAGGGAACCGAGGTGTCCCAGACACAGATACGGGATGGGTCATTCTCTGCTGTGATGGCATCCCAGGTACAGCGAGGAGGAGGAGGAAGAGGATCCTCCTTGCAAGCTGCTCCCTGGAAGCCAGCTCAGCAGTCCCATGAGCTCAAAACCCATGGCAGGACCGGCAGAATGCCACAGCCCTACAGGCACACCAGCAGTTCACAGCACAGACAGGTTAATGGGGAAGCTCCTTCCTCCCCTCGAGCCTCTTCCACCCATCAGATATCTGCTACGGCGGACAGGAAACCTCCAAACCCTTCCCGGAACAACCAGCTGCCTCCCAAAACACTGTCCCAGCCTCCTGACCCGCAGCGATGCTTACAATAGCGCTGATCCCTTCTCCTCCCTCGGGGACTTTGGGAAAGGCATCGTAGATTGAAGACACGTAAGTTATTACGGATTTCTCGTCCGGAGAGGGGACGTCCACATCTGGCACGGGGCAAGGAGAAAGGCAGTGAGGAATGGGCAGAGAGGTTGGCATCTCCCCACACCAGTCGCTTCCCCCGGCCGCCCACCTTCGGCATCCAGCAGCCGTGTGACCCCCAGCCGCTCGGCGATCTCGAAGGCCTGCTCCAGGTTCTCCCGGTTACTCTGGATCTGCACCCTCTCCATATCCACCAGATCCGGCCTGCAAGACATGCACCAGAGTCACGACATTGGCAAACTGCGCAAGGTGCCCAGGGCAGAGCATCCCGGACGGGCACCTCTGCCCCAGCTGGCTCCCGAGGGCTAGTCTGAGCCCCTGTCCCAGACTGGTGGCTCTCCGAGGGGACCTGGGCTGCAGCACCTCCCCAGCTCACCCCCTTTGGGAAGGGGATGCTCAGGCTGTGAAGGAAAACCTCTTGTGCTCCCCTGGGACCTGCCCTTTCCAGCACCCGCTCAGGGCTAGGACTGCGAGAGCCCTCCCGGGAAGGAGATGCATGGAGCAGCCCCAAAGCGGGGCGGTTACACCTCTCCGGAGGACGCTGGCAGAGTCCTTTGCCCACGGCAGAGCAGAGGGGAGGCGGCAGGCGCCGGTGCCGCCAGCCCTGCACCGGGAACAGAGCAGAACCAGCAAACCGCAGCACAAATGAACCCCGAATGAGCGCAGCAGAGCCAGGAAAAAAATCCCAGTCTCTGTGCACCACAAGCCTGCTGCCCACCACGCACCCCATCTCCTGCCCGCTGGAGCCTTGCGTGTCCTTCCCTGCTAAACCCTGCCCGCTCCCTCCTGGCCACGAGCGAGGGGAGAGCAGCGCAGGAGGGCACTGCCGTTGCCAGCTGCCAGGAGATGCTTTCTCATGGCCCCTTCGCTATTCTGCCCTTGACCAAGCAGCCGGGGCAGACGCCGGCCCCAGCTCCGACTCGCTGCCTACGCTGAGCAGGGAGACGGTGTTGGGGG